TGCACCTTGGTGATCACCTTAAGAAGAAATGGTAGGAATCAAGATAACAAATATAAAATTTAACGCACTCAATGTAAACAAAATGACTACCCTATGGATATAACTACAGCTTGCCAAATCATGTCCTGAACAGGATCTTCTTATTAATTAAGACTTTCTGGTAAGCAACCTGATCTTTTTTCTATTGAAACATACTGGATATTTCTACTGAAAAATTTGTAAAAAGAATTGATACAAAAGCATCTTCCCAACTCCACCTGCTCCCATCTGCTAATGTCATTAGTTCATATAGTAGTTGTATATTAAAAGTCACAACACTAGACTGAAAGCATAAATCATAATTAGGTTTAGTATTCATTTCTAATTTATTTGTGTGGAAAACTTGCACCAATGTGCACATTCAACACTAAAGCTATGGTTCATGACAGAAGGTGTTCAAAGCATCATTTTCATTGGTAGCAAGCATGAGAGATGATTGAGATAAAATATTTTTTGCCACAGAAATAATTCTCATCATCCTTTTTTTTAAAAAAAAAAGTTTAATGTATTTTTCTAGGCTTTTCAACTTCAGAAATTCTCTGCAACTGAAACATTTACATAAATTAGAAGTATCATACTTTTTACATTAGGAATATTAAGTCTTTGGGTGAATATCAACTTATGAATGATAAAGATAACAGCTGTTAACAGGAGACAGCTATAGAAAGTTACAGAAAGTGACCAACTAGCAGAATTAAACATACTATGTTACAAAGGTATGGATGGAGCAGTGGACAGATAAGATGAATATTTTGCTAGAATCTAAAAAAATTCTGAAAAGTAGCCTTGCTTGCTCATTTTAGCTGTAAGATAGAGCCTATATACTTTCTTACGTAGGAATTAAAAGCTATCTCTCACAACTACAAATATGTAAGGATGTAAATTAACATCACTGAGAGTTTTGTCTGATTCAGTGTAACTGAAAAATGGACAGCTAGGGAAGGGGCAGATAACCAGCAAGTAAAGTAAAGAGAGACTTTTTCTAAAGCAGAATAGAAGGAGTGTCGGGAATGAAGTAGCAAGATGGAAAAAGGAAAAAATGCTCTCATCTTAAAAGTACTATAACAGGTTCCTTAGAATCTTTCAAGATCAAAGGTAACACTGAAAGAAACTTTGCACACGGAAGTGGAAGAACTAAGCATCAGTGAGACTGACTGCAAAGTGAAATACTTTGAACATCTCTTGTCACTGAAAGGTATTCCTGGTGATAATTTAAAACCCGTCCTTGGTCTTTCTATATCTGCTTCATTTGACTTTCACACACAACATTGCCAAAAATTAAATATTGATTACGTCATTTACATATGGGAGAAGTGAAGACTTCAACTTGAAAGCTGTAATTTTCTTTTGTACTAATATCATCTCCCTAAGAGTAGAACAAAACTAGAAGTTTGAAGGAATGACTCAGTCTTTGCTCTGGATATATTCTTTTAAGATATCTGAAGTTACAGATGTACAATTTTATACTGTAAGTTTAAAAAAAGCCCCAAGAGTCAACATTAATGTGAACATAAAAAAATTTCTCCATATTTGTAAAAGGTATTTTACACTAGGTAGCGTATTGCTTTTGTATCTGAAAAGAACATTGCATTTAACTTCATGAATATGCCAACCACAAACATATGCAAAAATATAGTGAGATCTTAGAATGTGAGCAGCTACCAGAAATGACAAAAACTTGCAAGCCACACTGTGTCATCCTAAACTTTTGTCATGTGAGTATTTAGCAAATTCATCTAACCTTGTTGAGAAAGCAGTAAAACTTTAAAAAGACTAAAACTATATTGTAGAAGATAAAAATATCTGTCACAATGACTATCAACTTTATGGTTGAATGACTGAAAAAGGGTGGACTGTTAGTGCAGTTTTCCCCTGAGTAAGACTTAGATTGCCTCTGTATGTGAATCCATCTACTATAAATATGGTTTAAATGCTCTTTGAGCTGCAGTGGATTTTGCTTGAAACTCAAATGCAATTTAGAGAACAAGCAAGGTGTTCTACAGAGATTTATTAAAAGCTAACAAAAGCAAGTTTGCTTAGTTTTGGCGATGTACCTAATGATAGAGTAGTACGAATGGAAATTTATCTTAAGAAGTTCTGACGTCCCAAGAGGCTACAGTGAAAAATGTAATTACTTGTTTTATCAGGAAATTAAACTTTTGAGGACTGATTGAAATATACAGGTTCAAACTCAATATTCATCAATACTACTTTGTTAGGAACAGAGATTTTCAGAAAACATGGAAGCTAAAGTGCAAACAGGAAAGCAAATTTAAAATTAATCATTGCATTTTGTCTACATGATCTGTGCATATATATATAAATAACATTAGGTTTTCCAAAATATAATTATGAAAAGGTAAAGATTTCTCCTAACAGATCAATCAGGAGTATTAGTAATGCACTCTCCCATACCTTCTCTCCAATACTGCCATGCATTGATAACCTGCTACTTACATTTGCTTAATAGAGGTGCTCCCATCTTTGCAGAAGCTTGATTTTTTTTCTGAGAGACATACACAACTTTCTGCTATTCAGCAAATTCAGTCAGAGAGATGTAAGGGTTTATGTACATTTAGGACAAAAAATACAACAAGAAAGTGGTACAACAAAATAAACTGGAATATGTAGTTGAAAAAGAAATATAGTGCCACTAGCTCTACGACTAGACCGCCACTCCAAACAATATGTATAATTAAAGAAAATGAAATTGGTTTTTTCCCCTGAAACTTCCTTTCCTTTGTTTCATTTCATATATACATGTTTTGGAGCCCCAAAGTACATTCCTAAACCAGCAAATGAGAACATTAAAAAGACACACACTTGCAGTTTAAAGAAGAAAAAAAAGCACCCTGGAATATCAACTGGATGCTGAAGTACAATTTATCTTTATTCTCACTACTGCGTGGATCAAGAGGTCCAGTGTAAATTTAATTCACATTGCATTATTAGAAAGCTGGGATCCAGAAGGAAAAACACAGTAAGTGAAGACATTTAAACATATTGACAATCTTGAAGAATATGAATGAACCATATTTCTTGACAAATTTGTACGATGTTTGATAACTTGAGGGTACTGAAAAGGACTGAACAAAAAGATAACAAGTAGTGTGTTTGCTTTTTTTAAAGTAATGAGTAAAATTAACCAAGAGCTCTAAGTGGCAAAGCAGCTTATACTTTTGTGCAGAATCCAACCTCTAGGTGACAGGAACAGATGAGATCACCCTTCAAGTTTATTTTTCAGTTGGGCTTTCCTAG